AAAAGGAATTGAATTTCCTCGTGAAAGCCTAATAATAATGTCCTTGAAAATTTTTCACATTCCATTTCATTTTCAGCAATTTCATCGAAAAAGGAACAAAAAATGAATATATTGACTACATGCTTCACAAGAGCATACAGAAATGTGATTTATAAGTGACCAAAACTTTTCATCGTAGACTTGCTAATTAAATACTGATCGCCGTGAATAACTTGTTTTCTAAAAGCGAAAGCTTTGTTCGTTCGGCGTAAAACGAATTTTTTTTAAGGCGATTCGCAAAAGGAATTGAATTTCCTCGTGAAAGCCTAATAATAATGTCCTTGAAAATTTTTCACATTCCATTTCATTTTCAGCAATTTCATCCAAAAAGGAACTAAAATGAACATTTCGCAAAGGATTACATGCTTCACAAAAGCCTGCAGAAATGAAGCTTTTAAGCAAAATTTTTGTTTACTGATTTTTTGACTTTTATTGTTGAGAGTAATCTTCTCAACAACTGGATCTTTAAAAAGACCGACAACTGGATCGTCGGTTCTTTTTAAATTTTTAAATGGCAGTATCACAAAAGGAATTTAATTTTCTCGTGGTAAGCCTAATGAAAAAGGCATAGAATATTATGGAACATAGAACTTAATAGCAAAAGGTTTGTAGAAGTCGCAGCCGGTTTTTAGGATTCTTACCAACTAGCCTGTAATATACACAAAAATTGAAGCTGCTATAGCTTGTCAAGAAAGAAATAATCGTAAAGGTTTCAAATCGTTTCGTGACAACACGACTCTTAACTTCAGCCACACTGTTATATCCATTCAAACTCAGCTATAACATTTCAAAGATAAACCTTATAAAGTATGTAAAGTGTTGCTTCCTTATTTTCTTAATGCTGACAACATTATCATTGAAATGTTATCTCCTACTAGTACATATTAAACTGCAATATCACAGAATATGGACCACAATCCTCTTAACTATTCCTACAAACATTTATACCTACAAATGCATCCTTATTCTCAAAAAAATGCATTTTAATACAAATACCCCAAAAAAGGATAAAAAACGAACAAAAATAAAATTTTTGTATAGGATTACATACTTCACAAGAGCATATAGAAATGTGATTTATGAGAGACCAAAATTTCCCATCTTCGACTAGATAATTAAATACTGATCGCCGCGAATAACTTGTTTTCTAAAAGCGAAAGCTTTGTTCGTTCGGCGTTAAACGAATTTTTTTTCAGGCAAATCACACAAGGAATTCAATTTCCTCGTGATAGCCCTATTAATGTAATACATAAACTATAAAATATACAGTAGCGCTCAGAAGTATGTTGACTTTTAGATTTTCTATCATAACTTTTGATCTACTCAATGAATCTTCATAAAATTTTCAACAGTTGGCTTAATTTCAAATGCAAATCGAATGAATATAATGGCTTTATGGTTACTTAAGTTAATTAAGCTAACCTCGAAAAACTTTGTTTTTTATCCGCTCAAAAGTATGTTGACCTAGAATATTAATTTTTTTTTCGTTCCAAAAGCTGATTTATTTTAACTTTCAGTGTTTTTTTTTATTAAAATTCAGATAATGTAGAACAAGTTAAGAGATATATAAGTTTATTTAAAATCGATTTTTTTCACAATAATCACAATTTTGTAAGCTTAAATTTAACCAAAAGTTACCAGAAATCATCATTATCTTTAAAATAGTATACATTTTGTGTATAATTAAAACTTAATCAAACAGTTTTTTGGAAAAAGATTTTGTAAGGTCGATAAAAATTTTAGTATGAAATCGAACATCACTTCGAAAAAATTTAAACCAGCCTGAAATATAAAACAAAAGATGTTATATTTTCTTCTTTTTTAATAGTTCTTTCAAAATTATATAAGTTTTGTGGACCTTTAATCAATCATTTTATGAAGATTCATTGAGTAGATCAAAAGTTATGATAGAAAATCTAAAAGTCAACATACTTTTGAGCGCTACTGTATTAGTGATGAGCTAAATTACAGAACTCTTGTAGCTTTTTATAGCTTTGATTTTGTATTATTATCTGTGGAATTATCGAATATCTTGAATCAAATCCTCTAAAAAATCAAGCAATCCACTCACAAATTTACATCAATCTTCTATCAATTTTGAAAGATTGTCACATCTTAGAATATAGATCCTCAAAATACCTCATTAAATAAATCTCACAAAAATAAAGAATATATCTATAACAATTCAGCTTTAAGTGTCAATCAATCCTAATTTCCCTTTTTCAAATCTCTTTATACTCAGTCATAAAGACGAAATCTCTTTTATGAGCAGCTATTCACATATCCCATCATATAAATGAGGGGTTCATTTGTAAGTGCCAGAGCATGTCCAAAAGTGTCGCACTGATAAAATACATTTTTATCATTTTTGATTCATCAGTTCCGTACCCTTGAGCATGACAAAGTTGACATTTAAGTGTACTTTACAGTTAAGCTGGTCTATGAGAGATAATAGGTGGTCTTTATTAAGGATCAGAACCTCAAGAGCCTAATAAGCACTATTTATTGTCCTATTCGTATCTTGTATTGCCCTTTTGATACCCGTTTGAGTGAAAATCAAGTTCAATTTGCCGTTATAGACTCTAACTTCACTATAAGTTGTAAGTTTCGAACCTATGATTACTAGCCATGACAGCTTAGTACTACCAGTATGATCAACTGGTATTTTAGACACTGAGGATCACTTTAATAGGGTACCAAGTGAACAAGTGAATGCTCAAGTAATTAAACTATAATAGGAGTCATCCACTTATGACGTCCGATATTAATGGTCATTTTTCAAAAAAGAACAATGGAATTCAAGAAATTTCTATTGTTTTTTTTTTCTTGATGACCCCCCCCCCCCCCCCCTTTTTTTTGGGCGTTATAAGAGTATGGTCACTTAGCTAAACCTGAAATTTTAAAACCACCTCCCCCATCACCTTCTTGAGGGTCCCATCATCCTTAACATTCTTTCAAAATTATGTTATGACTCAATTTTCCCCATCATATGTGAACTAGCCCCAACAACATCTCTTACCACAAAAATATCCTAAAATAAAAAAATAAATTCAAAGACTTTTTCCAAACGTAATTCCATCACTTTAACATTTATTCCATCACATTATATCGAATGCTCAAGATTCATCGATGCGCAATAAAGTTTAACATTAACGATGTCATCTCATCTTATTTTCATCCCCTTTAATGCTTTTCTTGTATCCCTTAAAAATAAATCCAGCATCGCAATTTTTTCATTTAACTGCAATTTTTTTGCTTTGTGGCATTTAAGAAAGCGAGGACATAAAAGACGAGGCAAGAAAATAAAAAATCAGTAGAGTGAGTCATAGAAAATGTTTTGCGATGTTTAAGGACACACAAAGGAAGAAGAAACAGATATAAATACGAGCCATAGATCTCTCGTTATGTGCTATAAAACGCAATTATAATTTTTTTTATATCGTACAATGTTTGTTGCATGAGAGCATAAAAAATGTTGTAAATTTTATTTCCATTTGGATGTGCAGCGTACTTTTATGAATTATTTGGAAATACATTTTGAGGTGATAACAGTTTGTCTCTTGGAGGTGCTTTGTGTTTTAATTGATATTAACTTAATGGGTGATGTGTGGAGGCTGGAAATTTGAGGCTTCAATTCATTAATTTTTGCTTCTTTTTGGAAATGTAGTTGATACCCTTTTGAACTTTTATGGTCTGAGGTAAACTAGTGTGCCGTGAAGCATAGGTTAAGAACCACTGATCCATCAACAAAATTCCATGTTTTTAATGAGAGTTCCATTTCTAGTGGGAATCGAACTAAAGTTTTCTCACAATTCAAAATTTCTTCTATCTAGTCTTTTGCCTAAAAACTCGACCACAGAGTCCTTAGTTTAGCATTGACAGATTCACAACCATATGGATCGATATACTAGATAATTGCTTCATAGCTTAGAATTCTAGACATTTCTGTTGAAGCCTGCATGCTCCCTAAATAATGATGACAATGTCTTGGTATGTAATTGTCTAAATTTCATCAATTTGAATCTATTTGTAAGCTTTAGTATAGGCGCGTAATAAGGGGGGGATTTGGGGGACAGATCCACCTTCGTCTTGATAAATTTCTTCATTTTGCTAGAGTTTTTATAAGAAACTCAAACCCCCCTAAAAGTTTTCCATACTCAAATTCCTGGCTCGCCCCGGCTTTAGTAAGATTCCTCACTCCTTTAATGTGTATCAAGACTCTAGAAGCAAAAAAACCTTGTAAAATGCGCTCTATCCACAAATATCCTAAATGCCATCCTCTTCCCAAACTTACCCTCATCTTCATTTCTCCTCATTTGCTGAAAATGTCATGAAAAATTTATGCACAGCCAAAAAAAGGACGAGAAAAAAAGGAAATGATGAAAAAGAAATGAAATTATGCGCCATCAAAATGAATAAACTTTGTCATTTAAAGGAAAATGAGTGATAATAATTTTATGACGATAACAATAAGGAGAATGAAAATGGATGAAAGAACTTACGGTTCTTTCTTATTTTTGTAATGTCGGGCCTTGTGTCATTAACTTACTTAATGGAGATGGAATTAATTTTACATTTTGTTGAGCAAATAAAAAGAAAGAAAGCTCTTCAGTTCCTTTTTGTGTGTTTGTGGATCGAAAATTTGAATGACAAATTCATGCAATAAATTTTTCGAGTGAATAAATTTCAGCATTAAGAATTAATCAAAATTGGGAATGCTAAAGTGTTTTTTGGACATGATAGGATAAGATAGTACAAGATATGGCAGGATAGAACAGCACAGGATACACACTTACATCCACAGTGTCTTTTAGACTTGATAAGATAAGACAAGATGAGACAGTAGAGAACAGCACAGGATGCACACTCACATCAATCTTACTCGTCCTGAAAACAAAAATCACAGCAAACATTTGGAAACATTTTTTCACAGATTTTTACTTAAATTCGGGAACCACAAAATGAATCGATTCACATTTACTGAACCTCTCGACCCAAAATACAGCTGCGATTCAGACGGAGACTCAGATGATGTTCAGTCAATTATCGACACAAAATTTCACGAGCAACAAAAAGAGTTAAAATTACAAGATGTAATAAATCAAAAGAACCTCAACAGCATCCAACGAAGCTACGTAAAATGTGCCAAAGGAAAATGTCCAGCATTAATGAGTGAGCACGCGAGACGCTTACACAGATTGTTTTTAAAAAACCGTAAAGTTAATTATCTCAACACAAAGAAGCAAGATAAAAAATTATCGAGAATATTTATCGACACCGGGAGAAAGAAGCGAATTGAGATTCTTCAGGCTGAAGTTTATGATCTTGACTTGAGGCTGAAAGTTGCTTCTGGTAAATTACATACGAAAGAGACTGAAGATAATTACAGGGAGATTGAACGTAATTTAAGACTTCAGGAAGAGATGGAAGAGAAAATTAAAAAGACAAAAATTGAAATTGGACACATTGAGTCTCAAATGGATAGACTTGATCGTAAAAGTGTTGAGCTGGACCGTGAGACTGAGGCTGAAGGTATGATGGCTTTTGGAAAGAGTTTTAAGCATTTTATAAAGCAGCTGATGCTTATTTTTGAGCTTAACTTCTGAATCCTAAAAGAAGGAAGTGATGATCCACAATTTGAGTCACCTAACGACATATTCCTACCTCTAGACCCTTTCAGTATCCTCAAATTCTTTCAAAACTCTAACAGCACACTCTTTCCCCTTCCAGTTCCATTCATTGAGCACCTCAAACGAGCCAATCGTCAACTAGAAATTCACGAGAACCGTCTTCAAATTTCCCGTCAATGCGAAGGCAAAATGACAGCTGAGAACAAGCAATTACGTGAATTACTCTGCAACATGCTTTATGCTCGCTCAATTTTCAACAAACATTGGAACCAAATTGTTGACAAATTAAAGAATCGCAAAATGTTTCTACTCGACATGATTGAACGATCGAGTACGGCATTCAATCAAGACGCTAATCAAATGGACAATTACAAGAAACTGCTGTCACGTAGGAATCTAGACAGAGAAATGGCAATTTCGGATATGCTTAAAATGCAACGACAAATTGATGCTAATGATTTAATGGACATGTTTTTGAAGCCAAAAGGCAAAAATCGACCTTTTGCGCCGCTAGACAAGCATGAAGTTGCGAGAAGGAAGGGAGTCAAGAAGGCTTATGACGATCAATTAAACTTTTATCAAAATTTAATTAATGAAATTAAGAAATTTCCACTTGATTCCAAAAATAATTCATTGGAAAAGACAGTTGAGTATTTAAGGTTTGTGGACAATGAGAACTTTGAATATTATCGGTATCGTGAGGATATGGATCGTCGACTTGATGATATAGCAAATATGACAGCAAGTACAGTGAATGAAATCAGTAAGAATCATGACATGAGTGAGAAAATAAGAGAATATTACAAGCAAAAGATTGAGGAACGTGACAAGACATTGCAGACTGAAATCAGTACGACGATGAAGTATAAAATGGAAAATGATAAGCTCATCCGTGAAGTTGAGAGATATTCCAAGATATTCTTGAGCATCATTAAGACATTGCGATGTGATATGACGCGATTCCAAAAGCTTCTTAGGAAACAGGATATTATGGATGACCGGAACTTAGACATCCTGTTGTCACTGATTGAGAATCGAATGAATATGATTATTGCCTTCCTGTACTGTAAACAGCGTGAAGACATCGACATTCAAACTGAAGATCCAAAACTCATTGTCAGAAGTCTTAAGTATGTTGATCGTCCAGTCATCAGAATCAATGACATTATCGTCACTAATCAATGTCCCGAATGTGCTCAAACTGAAGACGTTAATCTTCAAGAAGCAAATGAGCTTGTTCAAATGCTGGATGACGATGAGTTACGTCAAATTATGATCAATAAAACCAAAATACCTGGATTGGCACAACGCATGCATACACTGTCTGCATGTAATTTACCTCGAAGTGGAATGATTGCTGGTCGTCGTTATGCTGAATAAAAAAATTTTTGATGACACATAAAATAAAATACTTAATTATTATTACCCCCTTTTTCGTCAATTGTAGAGCATAAAAAATTTTATAATTACAGAATGTTGTGCTGCCAAGCTTTGTGACGCATAATAATTATCATCATTATGGCACCATTTACTTACAACTTTTTACATTCATATTCTTATACATCCAATAATTATTTTTTGATAATATTATATTTTTTTGTGGCTGTCTCTATCTTGCTGTATATTTATTCATACAGATGTTCTCATTTTAATTACATAATAACTTTTTTAAATTCTTTTCCTGTATAATTTTCATTATATTATTTTGTACATTGTCATGCAAAGACATTAAAGTGAGCACTTAGTCGTGTGACGATAAATTTTTGTAGTACGAAGTTGAGGCTAGAATTGAAAGGTTTTGTGAGATTTCTAGAACTTTATTATGTTGAATGGAGCTCACTGGAATAGCGAGGTTATGCTTACTAGTTTACTAGAAATTGAAAAGTTATTAAGTTTTTTTTTATTTAAACAATTTTTATTTGAATTTATTAGGATTAATTTGGAATTTGGACTGAATTCTGTGGCAAATGGAACATGTCATTCAATTTTGACAATTGTAGGTAAAATAAAACAGAGCTCAAAATCGATGGACTTTTGTATGGAGTCGAGTAGACTCGGAGTCAACTCCACCATACGAAATCGATGAAAATCTCGAGTCAACTTCGAGCTCTGAAATAAAATAAGCCTAGCTACCAAATTTTATAACGGTAGAAAAATATTAAAATTTCTGAACCCACTCATCACGTGTTTTTGTATGAAATTAAAAAATCATTGATTATAATCTAAAGGCATTGATTTAGGAATTTTTACAGTCAAAGATACCAATTACTCGACAGAACTGAGCTAATGAAGCAAACCCGAGCTTTCTATGATGTCTCGTAGAGGAAATCTCAGTTTGCCAACCAAACGTACAAAGCTACCTTTTAGAGAACAAGTAATCACTTAGAGTTCGACTAAAAGTACTCTGCTAAAGCTAGGGCAGTGTTTCTCATACTTTTTTGGTCAGGCGCACACCTGAATTGTCTCGAAGCACAATAAATGATTTTTATGAACTTTTTAAAGTCATAAAACATGAAAATATAGGCCAATTTTAGCAATCTATTGTGTGCCGCGGCACAGTTTTTGAGAACCGCTGTGTTAAAGGATGTGAAACTTGTCAAAAATACCAAAAATTACGAATTATGATCATTACACATTATTAAGTTGATCAGCTAACCACAACTTTGCTTCTCCTTGCGTATGCTTCACAGCATGTTTGTATCGATGCTCATACAGCTTCTCCATTAGCTTTTCAGTCTTCTCTAAGCCTCAATCTCATTACATCTCTGCTTCTAAGTTCAAAAAACATGGCAGCAATCTATCATTAAATTTATTAGCTTGCAAAACTACTCGAATCAACATAAAATAGCTTTATTAGCAAAAAAAATGATTTCACAATAATTCACGCTGTTCTTGATATTTAAATATTCATTGTTCATTATACAAAAATCACTTTCATTTAAACATGCTAAATAATCATTAAAATTCAAAACTAAGGAAATATAATAATAGAATGTTTATTCATAGCGTATTGTAATCGCTTATTATAATCTTCGAATATTATACCTTTATATTAATAAGCATTTAAATCACTCATTTTAATAGAATTTATTTAAAATCATGTACTGAATTATTTCATTCAATTTGATTTATTATGACTTTGTGATCAGCAAGGTGACTATTAAGTTTGCATATTTAATTGTGAAATAGCAATGATGCTTGTCATATCACAATAAATTCATCAAATAAATGAGGGAATGTGTTTGAATCAGTTGTAAAAATTATTACAAAATCATAAAACTAGTTTTTAATGTAATGTGCAATCGGAGGGTAACTAGGCTTGAAGGATTAGCTTGAAACCAGAGTTGCGATACATGTCGCCTGTCACAGATACAGGTGACATATCTATCACTTGTAGCTGTGACAGGCAATCGTATTGCAACTTGGAACTGCACGCCGTTATGTGGTTTTGGTCATGAATTACTACCAAGGAGTGCATAGACACAAAAAAGGTTGACCACCACTGTCTAATATTCTATCGTTTACAAACTTCAATCTTGACTAGGTGGGTTCCAAACCCTTCTCATGAAGACATCATAGCACTTTAAGTCCAAACCCTCAAAAAACCCTAAACCAGTGCTGTCCAAACTTTTTGAGCTACGGCACACCTTTGGGGTAAACAATGACCGAAGTCGTACCAAGCATGTTGCTCATTTCATTTTCTAAAATATTCTACGGCATACTAGTGTTCAGCGGCACACAGTTTGGGCAACCCTGCCCTAAACCCACAGAACCAAAAACATTTCACACACTAAGCATTTTTTTTTCCAATTTATTTAATATCCCAAATATCTCAAATTTCATGGGGATTAAAAATTAATCATTAAAGGAATGGAACAGCACGTCCAAGTCAAAGCTCAATATCAGCAAATAAAATCTACATTAAATTCCAACAGGCATTAATAAAATGCATAATTCAATCAATTTATATGCATATTACAAACATAAAAATTGTAAATATTTAATGACCAGTAAAATGTGAAAAAAAGCAGGCATGCAATAAATGTAGATAGACGTAATAAATAAATGGCATTAGAGAATATATTTTTATGCATATAAACAAATCATTAAATTCATAGTGGATTTATCTCATTTAATAATCATTCATTATACATTCTAGGCAGTAAAAATCAATGAGCAGCGGGGTTGGATACCGTACATACATTGTCATAACAGATTTGTGATTCGTGACCAAAAATAATTTCATTTTGTCTGTGTTTGGGTATGAAATTAAATTTCTCCTCGTATCATTAATCACTAATGACACATGTGGAAAAATGACAATTAGAATGAAATGTCACATCAAACAAAAGACGACTCATAGAATTTATAATGTTTGTATGTTGCACTTATCATGCTTTTGATGTTTAAATGAATTGAATTCTTTTATTCATAAACAAGTAGGAGAGATTTTTGAGTAGAAATTTTAAAGCGCATTTTGGGGTAAAATGAAAATTTTTGAATTCTGAGTTCTGAGGCTGGTTTTCAAAGCTGTATGAAGCATGATCCTCTCTGGAATTTATGATTGGTATATGGTTCTTCCAAGTAACTCTAGAAAGCAACAACAAAGCTGCGATTTTAACTAGGAGCGTCTATGGTGATCCAATCATCACCCCCTTACCCAATGGTTATTGAAGTTCCTTTTACCCTTCTAAATAAGCTTGTTAGACATCATCTTGATTGAAAAGGACAATTCAAAATTATGGGGCCGTTCTCTTATGATGTCCGAAAAGGGGGGGGGGGGGGGGGGGTAGCATGGAAAGAACAATAAAAAATTCCTGGAAATCCATTGTTATTTTTTGAAAATGTTGCACGTCATAAGTGAACGATACCTAATGTAAATATCTGAAAGCCGTCAAACAAGCAGGAACAATTCATCACGAGCAACTAATGAAAATAAAAACTCTGCAGCTGTGATTAATTACCCCTCAGCTCCATAGTCTCAATATCCAGCTAGCAAACTTGTTCTGAGCCATACTTTTTTTCTTAGGCTACATGAGTCACATTATCTTCCCAACCTAAATCTGACTGTGATTTTAGTAGAGCACCCTTTATAGCCCTAAAAACTAGCCGTTTCCATAGCCCCAGCCAATCTTGTCACCCAAAACACAAGCTTATAATTTTCACAAAACCAAAAAAAAACACGACAGGAAATCAACAAACAAAAAATGAGAAACAAAAGCATGCAAGACATAAAAAGCAAGTCAAATAATTTAATGTCATTACTGCACATGTCACAAAAAATAATAATAACATTCGATAGCGACGAATGTCAAGCTGGTGTTTATAAATTTTAATATAATAACATAAAAATCATGTTTATCATCATAAAAATTGCCATGAGGGGGCATAGGAGCATAAAAATAAAGCGAGAAAACATTTCGTGCAATTTTATGGTCGAGAAGCATCTCCTTATGTATATTTTGTGGGTGAATTTATATTTTATCGTCATTTATGGCATCAACGTTGATGGCATGCAATTCATTATTGCCTTCCTTAAAAAATCTGCTGATTTTTACCCATTTGTGTTTTTATAGTTATGAGGAAGCATAAAAAATTTCAACAATCATTAGATGATGAAGCACAAAAGAAAGGGACACGAACTTTTTATCAATTACAAATTATATATGAACAAAGGAACTGGATTTATCATTGAAATGTTATTTTTACTTGGAATCATTTTGTAAATTTATGGTGCTTTGTTCTTGTTCCTTTCTTTGTTTAATGGATTCTTTCCTGAATATATATTTATGGATGTTCTTGTCTGAATTTTGTCAAATTTTTGTGAAGAGAAAATTAGATTGTTATTGCTGAGTTTGCTGAATTGTGCTGAATTAAGTTATTTTTGCTGAATTCAACTCAGTTTGCTGAATTCGACTATATTTGCTGAATTAAACTAAGTTTGTTCAATTAGCTGAATTGAGCTTAGATTGTTGAACTGCACTGAGTTTGCTGAAGAGAGCTTAATTTGCTGAATTATCTGAATAGAGCTAAGTTTGTTAAAGTGAGTTGAGTTTGGTGAAGCGAGCTTAATTTGCTGAATTAGCTGAATTGAGCTAAGTTTACTGAAGTAAGCTGAGTTTGCTGAATTGAACTAAGTTTGCTGAAGTAAGTCAACAAAAAATATTATCCTCCTAGAAAAAAAAAGAATATTTCCACATTTTATCATAATTTTTCCAAACTTTAATGAGTACTTAGAAATGAGTCACATCGTCAACATGATGTATGATTGCGTTTTATTACATTCGTTTAAGCATTTCTTCTATTAGAGTATAATTCTCCACATTACTACATTTTCTCCATAACACTGCTGGCGATGCCATTTCCTTCGAACAGAGACAGACCCATAAAAATTAATGGTACGATCGTGTTTGTCAAACGAACTAGAAAATTTTTATCGCTTTTTTCTCTCTTATTTTATTTTTTCTGCAATGAAAATCACCGCATCTTCCATCTTCTCATTCCATTGTATGTCATATTTACTATTGACAATGTCATCGTTTGTCCGCATCTCTCAAGAGACCACTTTGCAATCTATATATCGTCAACAATGTTGATTCGCACAACTGCTGCATTTAGTTCTCATTTTTATTGCACATTTATTTTTTTACTTCAAACATTCTTTTTCCATTTTTTATTGCCACTACCAAGAAATAATTCTGCTGTATGCGAGAGAATTCTTGATAACAAAAAAAAAATATGGGAATGATGTTTAATTAAAGTCAAAGAAGAAGTAAAAAGAAATTAAAGATATGAAAAATGACTGAAAAACTTTTATGGATGACGGGAACATAAAAATTTATTAAAGCGCAATTTAAAAATTAATTTTGTAATTTTTATTGCTGAGAATGAGACTGGAAATGTGTTTGGTTTTGATGGTGTTGTGAATTTATTGTTTTGTGATGAATTTTTAATATTAATTGAATATCGGTGCTTTTATTAAAATCTGTAAGCAACAAACAATCGCTTAACACCCCCCACCCCCTCCCCAGAAGCGAAGCCACAGGTCCTTAAATGCCCGGGCACCTCTCATATTGAGATTTAAATTTAATACAATTTTTTGTGGTTTTTGACAATAAAAATTTTTCGAGCACCCCCCTCCCCCTTCCTTGGCTAGCCCCCCCCCCCCCCCTAGTTGTTCCAATCATAGTTTAAATTTTATTCAATTTATATTTTCATTTGCTAGATAAAGTTGATTAAAATCTTGTTAAACTCACAAAGAAAATTTTTCCTTTCTAAATTAAACCCTAAGTTGTATAAAACCCAGAAATTTATTGCAATATTTTTATTACATACCAAAACTTAACAAACAAAACAAAAAAAATTCCTCACAAATCAAAAATAAATTGCACACAAAAAATTCTGCATCAAGCTCTTATTTATATTTCTGTCTGATCCCTTCTGTACAAACTCATAACTTTGATGAAAAACTAAGGAATACAGAAAAAAAAATTCCATTCATGCATCAAAGGATGTTTATTAAAATAACAGAACAAAGTATGTGTATTGAAGGATATCATATAGAGCAGTGTTGTACGAACTTTTTGAGCCATGGCACATTTTAGGGGTAAGATATGACTCAAGTCGCAATTTTCAAAAAAAATCTACCACACACTAGTGTGCCGCGTCACACAGTTTAGACAACACTGATATAAATAAAAATACAATAATGCATAATGCAATGTTGGATTTCCACAAAAATACAATCACATATGAGGATGGGAGGGATAAAAACGAAAAAAAAGAATGGGATTAAAGTCTGTAAGTCAATAAAATATCAAACCAGGGAAAAATTTCATTTTGCTTGAGATTATTACTTTATGCTGTTTGACTTATGATGACTGTTATTGTTCTCAAATCAACTCGCATAAGTTATAATGTAGAGGATGGATGGAAAAAAGTTTTTATTTTCGTTTCTTATCAATTTCATATTCAGCAGAAAAAAAAGGAAAATTTGTGAATTTGGGGATCTAGACGCATTTTTTGGAAAAGCATAAATGAGAGGAAAGGGGGCTCAAAATCATTTTTTTTATATAGCAGGCGCGTAGCCAGGAGGATCTTGTCCCCTTCTTAAGCGTTTTAGACCATGCTCTCTCACTGCGGGGGGGGGGGGGGGGGGGGGTTGAAAAGGTTATATAGGAAAAAATCTTCTTCAATTGTCCAGGGTTTGGTTATGCCACTTACTCCTTACCGTGTCTCTTACTCCTAAAACAACAAAAACATAGTTTTTTTGATCTGGTAAACAAATTTCAGGATTGTTTGATGCTGCCATAGCTATACATTGGGGTATGAGCGTATCCAGTGAAGTCAATCACTAGTTGAATTTAAATGTGCATTGACGGTTGCTGCATGTGGGCCTGAGATTCGAAACTGATCAAATTTGTCAAAATATGACAAAAATGTGTCTTTGGTTCTGAACCCTCTGACTTATGAGGAGAAGACGAAGGGGAGGTCCTAAACATTTTTTATGGTTCAGATTTCCATTTTGTTTAAAAAAACGTCGTCAAAATTCCAATTTGAATTAAAAGTTCATTTATTTTTTAAGGTTAAAATAAAATTAGCAGTACAGAAGTTAGTTCAGCTTTGGTCACTCAAATGTTACAATCAATTTAATAAAGAATAGGATAAGAAACATCATCAGCAATTCCACATAAGTTAATTCCTCGAGTCATTTTGAAAAATCCAGATTCGCCCCACCATGTTCCATAACTATTCTTTATAATCCAATAATCATGTCCATTTTCTGTTCCCCATCCAATAAGTAGCGCTGTATGGTCTCGTTTTCCATTTGCATGGCAACCTCCAAAATGATCTGTAAAAATGCCTCCAATATGTTCATCAAATCCCGTCGGTGCTTGGAAAGAGATAAACAGCGGTCCATGCTTATATAAAGCATTTCTAATCATTTCTTCGTCACGTGGCAGCTGAACATAGCTTCTTACTTTTGTTCCATGAATTCCAAGTCCTTGAGATCTGCATTGATTTTGTGATCCAGTATAAGGATAGTCATAAGCACTAACAATTCCATGTTTACGTGCAAACTCAAAAACATCACTATAATGACCTCCTTTACATCCAAGATAATGATATCCGTCATGCAAACAATCAATCATTTCCTGTTCTGATAACTTTTGATGATTCCCATAATGGATACTCAGCTGTCCTTCAATTGCTGCGATACTTGCAAAAATGAAGCAACTTCCACATTGACCTTGATACTGAATTGGTCGAACAACGCCTGGAACATCTCTCCATGAAAAGTATTCTGGAAGAGCTGTGTATGGAAGTGTATTCATGTTGAAGTATGAATATGGAAAAGCTGATGCTAGACAAACTACTTGGAGCAAAATTAAAATTGGTATTGATTTCATCTTGTCTTTGATGATTAATGCTCAATTGCTGGTTTTAATAAGAGTGTAGATTTAACTTATTTTGACTTTTGGCACTTGTTAATTGGTTAACTGTTGTAGTTTGATTGTAATGGCTTAGGACATTGTATCTTATTTATATACTTTGAACTAAGTTATAGTTTCTATTTGATAATAAACTTTTCCAGGTAGGTACATGAAAGTGATAAACTTAGATACAAAAAGTAAAAATTTGATAAGTTTATTTTTGTTTTGGACTGAAAAAGGATTAGAGATGAGTTTCTGAATGTAAATAAGATCCTCATTAAGTGTGCTTAATCGCTTTTCAATTGAACTGCTCAAAAAATGCTCTAAATTAGAAAATAACCATCAGTAGAGACTATTTATTAGGGATCTCCGAGGAACCTCGTCTTAATCGTAGTCAAAATAGCTTTAAACCCCAAACAAAAGTGCAGTCTATCAATTTTCAACTCTAGATCCAAAATTTCATGATGATCTTACCCAAAAATCCAAGATGATTCCAAAACTTCAAGTTTAAATCTCAATCAACCCATAAATCCAGCCAACTAGCCATTTCCTCCTTAAACTACTAAAGAATGCTAAAGAAAAACTGCAATAAATAAAGCAGATACACTCATTCCTTCAAACTCAACATCCGAAGAGAGAATGGCAATAAAATAAAAACATGCAAGTTGTTGGCTATAAAAACTGAAAACGAACATAAAAAAAAAATTCCGATATTACACAGTATTAAACAGTATTCGAGCAATAAAAGCAAGACGAGTGGAAAAATTCAATAAATTTTCATGGCTTTTCGCATTAGGGGTGCCTTTGTGCTTCGAGTTCCTCTCGATTTTATGTTTTTTTTTGTTCTGCATGTGTATCAGCTCGAATGAGTTTCAAAAGAATTTTGTAAAAAAAAATCACAAAAAAAGTTGTAATTAAAAAGAATTCAGCTTCAATTCCTTTTTGAAATTCCGCTCTTTTAGGTTTGAATTATTTGTACAGTTCTGAAATTTTTTATGAGATGCAATTTGTTGTTGCTGGTTTTTTATGAAGTAATAGAAAAGTCATTCGCGTTATGTTAACTGTACCCCCTCCCCCTCCTCTTCCATAAAGGTCTAAGTACTCATAAGTACGCTAAAAATACGTAATATTGTGTGACAATTTCTAATTATAAAAGATTCTAAAGCCTTTAAAAGCCATTTACTACCAAAAATAAATTTCTTCTTTAAATGCGCCTTATTCCAACCATAGCCCAGCTCATTCCCAACTTTCCATTGTTATTATACACCAAAAAAAAGTTAAATGCCTTCCATACCTTCCCCCATTTGCGGTTTACATTCGCAAATTTTATCGAAACAGTTCTTTTATAGCTTCGCTTGCCTAAAAAATAAACACAAGAGAAGCTCAAATTGCGAAAATATACGAGTCAATTGTGATTGATTGATTGATTTTTGATGCTGATGTGTTCTCGATATTTTTTCATTTTATTCTCTCATTTCATTGCACTTTTTAACGAATTCCATTCTGAATAAAAAAAAATATATTGATGAATTTGTCGTTTTTGGAGAAAAAAATTCATTGACTCAAAAATTATCGATGAAAAAAAAGGAATTTACGCGAATAAAGTTTACTTTATTGAAGGTTTTGTAGAGAAACCTTATTTATTTTGGAATGTAAAAAAAATAATTTTTAACTTTTTCGATTGATTTATGAGAATGGAAAAACGTGGATTGTAGGAGATAGACACTTTGAACTGAATTGTAGGTTATATAGGTTGATATTGGATTGATGATATTTATGAGATTGATTTGTTTGAATGAGTGTTGTAAGTTGAAGTCGCTCGGTGGTGAAATGTTTTAGTACTTCGGTATCTAATTTTGTAATTCCGACATAGAAATCAGGGGTTCGAGACTCGGCATGGGGTGTTTTTCGCATGTCTTTTTTCAAATCATTTGTACTGGAAATGATGCTCACGATCTCTCTTGTTAAGTTACAGTCAAAAACGACATCGAAGGAGTTGTTTGAATCCCATTGTATATTGTAGATCAAGTTTTGAGTGCAGCGGTCTAGTACAACCTTATTCGTTAAATGCTCATTTGCTGAAAATCATCCTAGCGCAGCTCAATTAATCAGAACGTTGTTTTTTCTCAGTGTTACTATGTTCAAAGCCACAAAATCTGAGGTTTAAATGTGGCATGGTATACCACTCCTAATCTAGCTTATTCCTAGTCCAACTTTCTCCAAGTTAAACTCACTCTTAGTCCAACTTACTCCCAGTCCAGCTCACTTGGAGTCCAACGCACTCCTAGTCCAACTCAGTTCCAGTTCAACTCACTCCCAGTCCAACTTACTTCTAGGCCAACGCACTCTAAGTCGATCTCACTTCAATTCATACCCACTCTAGTGTAAACCCAAGAAAACAGCAAGTTATGATAAATTATAATTACATTGACAGTCCAACTAAGCTTTATGTTTCAGGCACACCATAAAATTCAAAAATCTCTAATATACAGCATATCGTCCTCAAAAATTGCTCAACAAACAACAAATTTATAATTTTTTACAATATTTTTCCTGCAAATAACTTCACTCCATTATTCAAATATTTACCAACGAGAGGAAATTAATCATGCATGAACGTGTCTGCCGTTGAAATTGCATTGTACACAAAAAAAATAATGCATAACGTTCGAATGGTTTAAGGGTACTTAATGGCACTCTCTCAATCTCTTACCACCATTATGCAAAGGGGTACATACATACATACATACATTTATAAATGGATTATTATTTTTGATTGATCATGTCATTTATTTTATTTGCTCGTGTTGTTTACCTTCCGTTATTTCTCTTCATTCATGTTTTATGTAAACATTACGATAAATGCATTAAGGATGGTTATTTGATGTGTCGAGGGGACTAAAATTTCATCTCAAAAATCTCTTTTAATTGCAGGAAGTTTGAATCTCCCCCAACAAAATTTTTAATGTATCAAAAAACCTTTTATTTATAGTATAAATCCACACGAATATATTCAATCCCAAATGAAATTACTTAAAGGAAGTTTTTTTTTGACATTCACTTGATGTGCCTAAAGAATAATAAATGAATGAGATATAAAGGAAAGTTTTGTATAACTTGAAGCGATAGAAAAGCAACCCTCAACAACGAATGATAAGGATGGGGATATTTCTGGTATCTATTTTTGGTTTTGAGTTATAGATTATATAAGTGACTGAATGTTTGCCTGATAAATCTGATCAGTGGTGTCTTAAAAAAGCAACTGTGGACCAATATTGCTGTGTGTCTGCTGTTTGGGCTTACTCATGTAATTCAATTCGAATTTGGTGAGAATCGAACCTGCATTCTCAAAGCATAGCAAAGGCTTAGCTAGGAGGGTCTGGACCCCCCACCCTTGAAGTTTTGAACCACAGCGAGAGCACAGCTAAAATTTTTAAAGGGGGTCTAACCTTCATGGCTAAGCTCCTGTTTAGAAACCATACCTTTACTAGCTTGACGACAAAAAATGCGGTTCTTAATTCCTAGCTACTCACAATTCCTTACTTAATTCCCTTCCTTATATCCACAGAATTTTCTGTTTACCTACAAATTATTTTTTGCCGAAATAAAATAAGAAAAAGTTGTTCTTTCACTCCATCCATGATGACATTGCAGAAATTAAAAACCATTTTCTTTCCCGAAGACCTTTAAGGAACTTTTTTGAGAAATTTACATTTTATTATGCATGGAAATTGTTGAAAGGAATTTTTTAAAAGTGTAGATGAGGATTTTTAATGCTTTGCTTCTCAAAAAAAAAAATTCTTTTTCCGGCAATGGAACCCTTGCTTCTTTCATCCTTCAGGAAATTTTTCCCTCATCGCTTTAATGACTAAAGTAAAAGTTATACTACGAATGCAAATTACAGCACATTTAAATACGAGATGTAAAAAAAATTAAAATGCAATCTTATGGGAAAGAAGAGGAATTTTTAAGGGATGGATATTTGGGTATTTTATAGGAGTTGATGAAACTTTTCGTTAACATAAGTAAAGTGTTACATTTACATTTTTACTAGCTTGGGTTAGATTTTAAGTTGATTGAAATTTTTATTTATTTTTTACCTCTAGTCATTTTAAATTGATAAATTTTATGTTGGATACCCTTGATCAAATATGCGGAACTGAATAATATGTCAAATAATTTTGATCAGTTCAACACCCCTTTTGAACATTTTTGATCATTTTCACATCCCTTTTAATCTTTTTGATCCGTTTCACATGTGTTTGATATTCTTTCAATCTCACGCCCCTTTTTGATAATTTTTGATCAATTTTACACCCCTTTTGATAATTTTTGATCAGTTTCATGCCCCTTTTGATAATTTTTGATCAATTTCACATCTTTTTTGGTCTTCTTGATGAGTTTCACACCCTTTTTGATCTTTTTGATAAATTTCACGCCCCTGTTGATATTTTTGATCAGTTTCACACCCCTTTGAGCATTTTTGATCAGTTTCATACCCCTTTTACTTAATTTCACGCCTCGTTTTTAACAGTTTTACGCCCCTTTTTGAACAGTTACACACCCTTTTATACTTTTAAAATCAGTTGTTGTACTTTTGAGTTGGATCAATATGAATTTAAATTTTTGAGAAAATATAACGAAGATATTCAACTTCGAGAATCCCCCCATCTCTACTCAAATCAAAGTTAAATTAATTAAGAATAACAAAATAAAATCCTAATTAATTATCATTTCCAAAAACAGCTTCGAGCAGCTAAAAATACATTTTCATCAATCCATAACAACCCCCTCTACACAACCATCATCGCCATAACGACCATTGAAATCAAAAATAATTTACTCAAAATAACCTTGTGTATCCATTAGACACAACTCATCTCTAAAGAGCCAAAAATAAAACATTATAGTAGAATGACAAAAATACCAGCAACATGATATATCCTACAAGCTATAAAATGTGACCAGCATATAAACTGGCATAGATTCTTTATATAATTTATGGATACAACGCCCTAGCATTATCATCAAGCATATAATGCTCTATCTCAAATATCACTAATAACTTATTGCTCGTCATAAATCAGAAATATTTTCTTGCAAAT